AGTCTTGGGGGGTCAGAGATTAGTTAAGCTGCAGTGGAATCTGTTTGCTCAAAACATTCCATAGTCAGTTATTTTTAGGGACCTTGGTTATATGGTACTTCGCATTCATGTATCGTATTCCTATAGTTTTAAGTGTGCAAAGAATGAGTCTTGATTTCAGGAATGGAAACAGTACTGCATCTATTAGTCACCTCAGCGTTTGGGAGGTGGAGGCAGGAAGGAGAATCGCAATTCTTGAGGTCAGCCTGAGCTACATGAGACCCTGTGATACAAAAGGAATTGAGTGTGATACAAAGAAAAAGAAGTAGGATGAAAAGAAGGCCTACGGTTTTGTTGGGAAGTTACCATTTCTCAGAAGAATTCTTGTTAGTTTGTGTAGAGCAGATCAGAAAGGGACTGCTTCTTGAAGGAGGAACTAGTTATAAGCAAACGTGAGAAGCAGCAAGATTTGGCTGAAGGATGATGTTCAGGATTGGAAAGTGGATGGAACAGTATTTAAATGGCTTGCTGTAAAAATCTGTAAGCTTTGCAGCTATGTTTAACACTGTTGCTTTTTCCTCTAGGAGAGGGAAGAATCCAATATTGAGTATTTGTGAACTAGAGACCTTGTGGAGCCAAAGGGAAAAGTCGTTCAGTTCTTGTTATGGTAAGTGGCATATGTTTGTTTCTATATAAGTGTGAATTTTGAAGTAGGGGATGGAGTAAGAAAGAAGGTAAAACATACTTGGGAAAAGGAAATGGATTTGTTGCTAACATAGTAATGACAAAACCGGGCCCTGTCATGCCAGTAAAGTGTACTTTACATGTCCAGCAAGCATGCATATATTCACAGCAGGTGTGCGGCAGTCGCCTCTCTTGATTTGCCATACAAAGAAGGCAGTATGCCCAATGCTTGCACAGGCTCTGCTCTGGAGGAGATGGATATTTAAACGCTGGCTCTGTTGTGAAACTATCTGTGAGGCCTTGGGTAATTAACTAAACACCAGTAGCAACAGGTGTCCTATCTACAAGATGCAGATATTGGCTGGTTTTACAGTGTCCTTGGGAGGATTAAATGTCCATAATCTGTGTAATCAATGAAAATTAAGTGAGGCAATCTGTAGCCTAGGGCTATACAGCAAGTATGGATTTTCAGGTAATACTTTAAATATTTACTGTTTGATTGTTCCATATATCCTTTAACATAAAAGATTCTTGAGCTCCAAAGGTCTGTTGCTCAGCTTGTTTATTTGGACTTTTGTTGCTCTTATGGAATGCAGTCTTGATGTTGCTCATGAAAAGGGAGAAGTTGCCCTTCCTCAGAGGGGTAAGAAGAAGCATTTTAGAAACAGTAACTTGGAGTTAAGATTCAAAGGATGCGTTTGTGTTTGTGTTTACCAAATGGACAACTTAGCTTGTATTATTGTTGGTGACCCAAGGATAGTCCTTTTTTATTCTGATACTTGTTTCCTTGTAGGCTTTTTGTTTAGCAGATGTTTTCTAAATGTAACAGATAAGATATTTTATTAACCAAAAAGACAGTGTTGTAACCCTAGTAGATGTTATCTTATAGTAGAAGAGACAAACAATGCAACATATATAAAATGTATATATGGTAAAGTTGGTGTGATATTGAGAAGGAAGGTGGTATGAGAGGACACAAAGTCTTTTAGATAAAGTAGTCAAGATATGCTGCTTTTTAAAGTAGTAAGTTTCACTCTGCTCCATGATTCAAACAGTGGAGAAATCTGCACAGAGGAGCAGCAGTTAAGTCAGAAAAGACAGTGTTAACTTCCTGAGTAGCCTGTGGGGATGATGATGGCAGAAATTCCATATTATGGAGAGCAGTAAAATCCTTGGATTTTAATCTAAATATGGTAAGAAACAGTATTTTAAACCTGGGAAGTGTCATGGTCTGTTTTGAAGTTTGACAACCAGATTTTATTTTGTTTGTGTAGAAAAATTGTTTCCTAGTTTCAAATATTTTTGTTTGTTTGGTTTTTCTTGTCCACTACACATTCTTGGCAATTGTGATGCTTTGGATTGGTGGTTTAATGAGGTAATCTGATCCATTTCCCAAGCTGTGAGCAAACTCAGTTAAAGAGTTAAGGCAAGAGGATTGCAAGTTACAAAGCTATCCTGGGCAACGTAAGGAAAGTCTTTCTCAAAATGTGAAAAGGATAGTGTATGTAGCTCAGTAGTAGAGTGAAAAATTGTTACAGGCCTTGGGTTCAATCCCAGTTACCACAAGACAAAAAAAAAAAAAAAAAAAAAAAAAAAAAACCCAACATAATATATTTTTGTTTGAGCACGTCTACATTATGGCTCAACAAAGATATTCCAGGCTGGTTTGAAAACTCAGTTATCTAACATGCCTCTTATTCCTTTCAGTGACTAATGGTATCTAGAACCTAGATTCTCAGTGTACAATAAGGACATTATTGCTGGGATTGCATTTCTGTGACTTGACAGATGACATTCTTAGGATAAAAAACACATTTGTATGTGTACACACATATCTGTTTTCTCTATAAAGTACAAACTGTGACCTCATTCTGATACTGCCCTTCAATTCCAGCTAATTGCAGTACAGAGTTCATTCTAATCTTATTCTTTTCTACTTATAATTTCCCTCTGTGTGTGTGTGGGAAATTGGTAGTTCATTATCCAACTCTGGTAAACACACGAGCTAGTATGTACTATGAGGAAAAGTTTGGAAGACTGTGTGTTCCTGTCATTTCAGTACTCTAGGATGGAGAGGCAAGGAGATCAGAGTTCAAGACCTGCCTCAGTGAGCCTATGTTTAAAAAAAAAATAGTAATTGTTTTTTATTGTTATTGTCTTTAACTTGAGTTAATATAGTCTCATACAATGTCAGAGTTAATTTTTCCATTTTCCTCTTTTTTGGGTGGTCATATTATTTGTTTGAAACAAAGTATCTTTTGGTTTGTTTTGAAACCGTCTCACTTTGTAGGTTAAGCCGGTTTAGAATTTTATAGCCCAGAGGGGGGCCTCAAACTTAGGACAGTTATCTTGCTTCAGCCTCCAAATATTGAAATTATAGTTGTGAGCCACCATACTTAGCTGTCATTTGCTTTCTTTGTCATTTTACAGCCCTCCTCCAGCCCCACATAATTTTTTTTATAATCTTAACATTTATAATTGTGCTTTGTTGCATATTTAGGAAGTCATAACCTGGAGCTGTCCAGATGACTGAGAGGTTAAGAATACTTGCTCTGAAATTCTAAGGACTTCCAGTACCCACGTAGCAAGCTGGGCATCCCTATAAATGTCTATAAACCCAGCTCTAGTGGGGCAGAGACAGGAGGATTTCTGGAGCTTTCTGGCTCCCATCCTAGCTGAGAAAACATGAGCTCCAGAGACCCCACTTTAAGGAAAGAGTTGCAGAGTGACACAGGAGGAATCTAACACTTTCTTCTGGATTTCATGTTTGTGTACAAATGCATGTGTACATAGACTCACATAAACAAACATACATAAGATCCTAAAAAGATCATAACCTTACCCAGAGCTGTACAGAATTTCTGCTATGCTGTATTTAGGTATAGGGATTTAGTTATGTGTTGTAATGTGCTTGATAATGAAGTGTGTATTTATGTGTATGTACACACATCCTGTAATGGTTAAATCAAACTATTTAACTATAAGCATTGTTTATGACACTTAAAATCTACTTGCTTAACATGACTAAAAAATAAAGTCAGCACTAAGGAGGCTGAGGTAGGAACATTGTAATTTCAAGACCTGATTGGGTTACATAATGAGATTCTTAATCAGAATATAAAACAAATTTAAAAGATCTGTTTGGAACTTTTTATATAACGCTGTGTTATTAACTCTAGTCAGCGTAATTTCTTTTTGCTTTTTGGCTTTTTGAGACAAGGTTTCTCTGTGTAGTTTTGGATGACCTGGAACTCACCCTGTAGACCAGGATAGACTTGAACTCACAGAGATCAGTCTGCCTCTGCCTCTGCCTCTGCCTCTGCCTCTGCCTCTGCCCTAAAGTGCTCCTAAATTTGAAATAGTTAAGAGTGTCAAACTGATGTTGTGAAAATTTCACATAATAAACTTTGTTTCATTCACATAATTAATTAGCAGTATATGAGGGCTGGTGAGATAGTTCATTGGGTAAAAGTCCTTGCCATAGAAGCCTGAAAACTTGAATGTGTCTCTAGGGCACACATAAAAGTGGAGGAAAAGAACAAGCCCTTAGAGTTGTTTTGTGACTGTAGTCACGTTCTGTGGCACGGGCATAATAACAAGTTTTTTTTTTTAATTTAAAAATACTTTATGAATTTACCTTCAGGTCCTGTGTAAAAGTTGATTATGACTGGTATTGGTGGCTCACGCCTTTAGTTCCAGTGCTTGGGAGGCAGAGGCAGGCGGATCTCTGTGGTTTGAGACCAGCCTAGTCCACAAAGTGAGTTCTAGGACAGCCAAACCTACACAGAGAGCCCTGTCTCCCAAAAAAAAAAAAAAAAAAGCAACAAAATAATCTCAAATCCAAAAACTTTTGTTCCAGGCATTTTGGATAAGGGACCCATGCAGACTATACTGTTTACTCCCCCTTCCTCCTTTTCGCTTCCTCTTTTCTCTCTTCCCCCTGCCTCCTCTTTGCATTTTTTCAGTGTGTATGTAGGAGGTGGGTGGGTGCTATATGGTACCAGTGTGGATATTGGAGGACAGTCAGTTCTCAACTTCTATTATAAGATTGATTATAGGAATAGAACTCAGGTTTTGCAGCAAGCACCTTTATACACCAAGCCATTTCTCCAGCCCCAATAAAAGCATCTATCAGTCTTTCCTGCAGTGATTTTGGCTTTGAGACTTCTTAGTGATAGAAATATAAGTAATATGTTTACTTTGTCTCATAGGTTTGGAGGTTCCTAGTAAGAAATCAATATATATGATGCTGCAAATTTGTAAAGGCAAACTGCTAATGAATGAAAGGCTTGAAACAGTTATGTGTGTGGAAGTTACCAGTAAAATGATGATGAAAACAAGGATCAAGAAGACCAATGGGAAACCACTTAGGAAGGAACCATAGAAAATGTACACTTCAGAAGAGAGATGTAACCAGAGAACTCAAAAAAGAAAAATATACCATATACGCCCTCAGAAGGGAAAAAGATTTATATCCGTGTACATGAGATTACTCAAATAGATAATCAAATACATCAGTGCCTTGAACGTGAACAAAACTTTTGTGAAAACTTAGCACGTATGTGTGAGAAAACATATACTGGGGAGAAACCTTATAGGTGTGATATGTGTGAGAAAACCTTCATCCAAAGTTCAGATCTTATTTCGCACCAGAGGATCCATAATTTTGAAAAACCTTATAAGTGTAGCAAATGTGAGAAGAGCTTTTGGCATCACTTAGCCCTTTCAGGACACCAGAGAACACATGCAGGTAAAAAGTTTTATACCTGTGACATCTGTAGCAAGAATTTTGGTCAGAGCTCCGATCTGCTTGTCCACCAGCGAAGCCATACAGGTGAAAAACCTTATCTGTGTAATGAGTGTGATAAATGCTTCAGTCGAAGTACAAATCTCATAAGGCACCGAAGAACTCACACAGGTGAGAAACCATTTAAATGTCTGGAATGTGAAAAAGCTTTTAGTGGGAAATCAGATCTTATTAGCCACCAAAGGACTCACACTGGTGAAAGACCCTACAAATGCAATAAATGTGAGAAAAGTTATCGACACCGTTCAGCCTTCATTGTGCATAAAAGAGTTCATACTGGGGAGAAACCATACAAGTGCGGTGCCTGTGAGAAGTGCTTTGGCCAGAAATCAGACCTTATTGTACACCAGAGGGTCCATACTGGTGAGAAACCGTATAAATGCTTGGAGTGCATGAGGAGTTTTACCAGGAGTGCCAACCTAATTAGGCACCAGGCAACTCACACTCATACTTTCAGATGCCTTGAATATGAGAAAAGTTTCAGCTGTAGTTCAGACCTTATTGTACATCAGAGAATTCACATGGAAGAAAAACCACATCAGTGGTCTATGTGTGAGAGTGGTTTCTTCCTAGGTATGGACTTTGTTGCCCAGCAGAAAATGAGGACGCAGACAGAGGAGCTACATTATAAGTACAGTGTATGTGATAAAAGCTTTCATCATAGCTCATCCCTTCTTCAACATCAGACAGTACACATTGGTGAAGAATACATCTGTAATGTCAGTGAAAAAGGTCTTGATCTCAGCTCTCATGCATCAGAAACATCACAGACGTCTTGACAAGAAGTCACATAACCTTAAAAAACAAAAAGGTATTTACACATAACCCATTAAGAAAAAGGAAAACGTCTCCTAAGTAAATTTCAGAATTCCCTCAGATCTGAAACTTCATTGAGAACCAGAGAGAGAGAGAGAGAGAGAGAGAGAGAGTCTACAGTCTTTGGAACTTTGGAACTGTAAGAAAAACTTTATGCAGAGAGTGGCCACACAAGGAGACCGTTATTAGCCACATTTGCGAAGAACTCCACAAATGCTCTGGGGTTTTGGAAAACCTTCCACACTAGAAGGTTCATAGGAAGCCTTACATGTGCAGTATGGGAACTCTCCAGCAGTGTTAAACCCTCATCGTTACAGGAGAATTCACACCAGAGAACAACTGTTTACATGCTTTGTGTCAGTACTTTGGACAGTGTGTATGCCTTATTGGATATCAGAAAATTCATCCTGGGGAGAAACCCCAGAAATTACAGGAAAAGCTTCTAGCAGAATTCTGACTTTCTTACCCATCAGAGAATCCGTACTGTATAAGTGGATATTTACCTCGAGTGTGGCAGAAACATTTGTTGGAGAGTCTTACTTGGGTTTGCATCCTTCTAAACAAAAAATCAGAAGAAAATGTCTAAATGAGAAAAGCTTGTTAATTTTCATCTCTTGGGGTATATCAGGGAACTCACATCCGTGAAAACCCATAAATGCTTTGTGTCTGAGAAGCTAGAAGCGCTCATCTAATCGGGCCCCAGGAATCATGTCTACAGAGGAGTTGCTCCAATAAGAGATCTAGTTGTGGGTGAGAATCTGTACATATACTATGTATGAAAAGAGTTGTTCTCATAGTTGAACCACATTGTAAAAAACTAAATAGAGTTGTTCGGAAGGAAAGAATGTCTTAGCGACCCAGAACCTTGTTCTGGAGGAACTGGGACAGGTCAGTGTGGATCTGAAGGGTAACTCAGGTAAAGACACTTTTCTTTTGTCTGAACCGCTTAATGATTGCTTTAGTTTCACTTCTAAAAATTCAGAAATCCAATAAAGGGGCTGTAATTTTATGTATAAGGTAAGGCATGAGTTATTGTTGGAAGAAAGGAGCACTTTGATTTTTGCTTCCCCCTCCCTTTTTTTTTAATTCTCTTGTCTAGAATGGGAATGGTGTATTGATAGCAGGCTATGAAATAAGAACTATGAAGCTAGGGAGTACTTAGTTTGGGTTAAAATTCTCAGTAGTAGTTTCCTCTTTATATGATCAACCTCAGCAAAAAGCAGAATACTCAGCTCTTAGTGTTGAGATCTGTCCTCAAAATTGTCCCTAAAATACCTTTTTGAGTTATCCCTGGTCCTTGAAATTTCAAATTTAGAGGTTCATTTCTTTCCAAGTCAAAGTAACAACTGGGATGATGTTATAGTATACAGGTTTTGGGGACTTGCTTCATCTCTTTCAGTAATAGATACTGTCTCACCTGGCTCAGAGCAGAAGGAATAGGGGAAAGCTGTAAGCCAGAGAGAGCAGAGGAGAAACACAGTGAGGTATTCTTAATAGTGGAACAGGACACTGATTTTGAGGGTCCTGACTGCAAAGCTCACGTTCTTCTTCATTCTATTATCCTGATGCTTGCAGCAAAATAAGCTTTATAATGACACATTTTTTTTTTCCATTTATTTCAGTTCTGTCAAGGAAAGAAAAATACAGTTTAATCCCAGGGAAAGGATTGCAATCAGCACAAAACAATATAAGGTATATTCTTGGTTTGGAATGTAGGATTCTAAGTATTAGAAAAGTGGTTGGCACATTCACCTAAGGTTTAAGGATAGCATTTGTTTCCAGTATGTAGGGTAACGATTGTCTTTAACATTTTTTGGCTAGCTCATGACCCAAGCATCTAATGGTCACTTCTTGTTGCTTTTCTGTCTTTGGCTTAAAAGACTTTAATTGAAATATTTCAAGTTCCTATAGTATTTGGGATTCTGTAGAATATAATTATTTTGTTGCTAATCACAGTCCTCTGGTTTTAATGTCATTTGTTCAGTGAACCCCTGAATTAGTGTTTAGAGTCATGAAATTGATCCCGTGATACCGTACATGTGGCTATAAGCTCTCAACCTGATAGTTGTTTGATAATCATAATCTTTAAGGACAGTGAATTTAGCTCAGCATAGAATCGGGTTCCAATGTTTTTCCTTTTAAAAAACAGGTTGTATCAGTTTTAATCTGACATGGTCTAGTAATTTTTATAAATAACTTTAGTACTATGAAAGTTTGTTCACTGTGATAAACACACACAAGATAGGTATTTTTCTCCTTGGCAGTAAAAAATAAATTAGTCATTATGGCTGCTCATTAGGCAATGGAGAAAGAGACAAAGTTTAAACCATTAATAGGTTGGTGACTTACCCTTCCTTCAGTCTGTCTCACTGGTAATTGTCTATAGTCTCTAAGTAAACTAACAGTGGACCATTCCTCAAACAGAACTTTGAGGATGTAAAGCAGGCCTGAGGCCTGTTAACTATGGTGAGAAGGTGTTGGTATTACATAGCATAACCTGAGGTTGGAGAGGATCACTTGGGAGCCTGTAACCAAAGCTAGAAGGTAACTTCTGGGATGGATGGAGGTTCCCTTGAAGCAGTGCCAACCCAATTCTACCTCAGGTAAGTAGTTAGAGTAACTTTTTTAAGATTTCAGACCAAATGAGATAAATTGTATTCCATCCATGTACTCCTCTATGCTTTGTTGTTTTTGTTTACTTTTAATTCTTAAATAAATGTTCTGAAAAACATTGTCTCCTCTGTACTATGAGAAATTATCAAGTCCCCTGCATTTACATTGGGATATTGTACTTAATGATGCAATGTATAGGTGGTAGCCATAATCACTGGACAAGGGCAATTTCTTTGCCAAAATATTACAAGAAAGATCTCTGGCCAAATTGCTAGTATTCTTCTCTGAAGTCTGAGCTTAGTTTCCACAGTCTGTATAGCTCTCAGTACAACTGCCTCCTTCTAGGCTCTTAATATGATGGCCCATTAAGCTCTGCTTATAGAATTCAATTGCTTTTCTACTCCAAAATCCCAAAGTCCTGCTACATTCCTCCAAGAAAACCACATGGTCAGGTCCACAGCAATAGCCCACTGTCCTGGTTCTGTTTTAGTTACTTTTCTATTACTATGATAGCACACCATGTCTAAGCAAGGTATAATAGAAAGTTTAATTTTGTTTACAGTTTCAGAGGTGTAAGAGTCCCTGGAGGCAAGGAACAGCCGAAAGCTCTCACCTTGATCCACAACCACAAGACGGAGAGGGATAACTGGAAATCAAGTCTTTGAAACCTCCAAGCCCACTCTCAGTGACACACACCTCTTCCAATGAGATTACACTTCCTAAATCTTCCAAAACGTTCTGCCGGCTGGGGGCTATATATTCAAATAAATGGGCTTACGGGGGCCATTCTCATTCAAACCACCATAGCTGAGATAACCCAAATGTGAGTCCCCAGTATCTGAAAATCAGGCACAGTGGGGCTTTTAATCCTAGCACTGGGGAAGCAGAGAAAAGAGACTCTCTGGAGCTCACAGGCCAGCCAGTCTAGCCAAATTGGTAAGCTCCAGCTTCAATGACAGACCTTGCCTCAAAATTTAGACAGATTGAGAAAAACACACAACAGTTATTTGTGGCCTCTGCATAGGAAAACATATGTCATATGTATGTATATATACACACACACACACTAAGGTGAAGTAGGAATAAGGTGGGCAGGGTGGCTTACTGTCAGTACTCAGAAGGTAGATATGGGTAGGAGGATCAGAAGTCTATCAGCCTGGGCTACGTGGATGCCCTCAGCCAGCACAAAAGTCAAGATAGAAGGACTGTTGGCAGTGACTGGTGACATCAAATTGATGATTAAAACCTAACAAGAAAGTGAAGACTCTTAACATAACTATTTTTAACTTATTTTGTACTTACTCTTTCACAGTATTTCAGGACTTGATCTTAAAATTGACAAATTGAATTATTACTATTATCTGAAAATGAGAAGCCTTTTAGTGCAAAACTCTGTAAATGGACTCCTTGAATCCCACATCTTTTAAACGGGGCCTTAGTCTTACAAGTGAAGGGCATGGAAACTGCTTTTAAAGGCATAGGAGGTGGCTCGAAGACAGGAAGGCCTTAGAGGTTTCCTACTATAGCTTAATCAGAAGCTTGTTTTTTCCCCTTAAGGAAAGGGGTGCTAAGGGAATTGTATAAAATAGTTGCTTTCTCTGTGTTGATGCTACAGCCTGCATTTATTCAGCCATGTGCACCTACTCATTTATTCTTCCTAGTTAACTGTTCCACCAGGAAATAGTATCTAGTAGTCACAGCCCTCCTGGCTACTTCCATGATCTCTGTTGATTCATTTTCTTCTTTGAGGTTTTTCCTGTCTTTATAATGTGTTTAGATGGCCTTTAATTCCTGTTGAAAAAAAATTCATTCCTATAGTTTACCCTTCCCGAAAGTTCACTAGCTTAAAGTATCCGTGGTCTTCCTTCCTAAAATATATTACTGTAAATATGGCTGCTAGCTGCCTTTGAATCCAAGTACATCTCTGTTGCCTCCACCCTACCCACGCCTCATTTTCAAGTACTTAGCAACCTAGGATCATATAGATTCTTTGCATCTTAAGCCAGAGTTTCAGCTCAGACTGTCTTCAAACTCTCTTGTCTAGGATGGCCAATGAACTTCTTTAACTATTTCTTTTAGATTTTTAAAATTTTTGTGTTAAGTGTTTTACCTGCATATTGTGTGTGTGTGTACATTATGTGGATGTCTGGTGCCCGAGGAGTTCAAAAGAGGGTATTGGATACTCTGGAGCTAGGATTAAGGATAGTTGTGAACTACCATGTTGGTGCTGGGAACCAAACTTGGATCCCCTGCAAGAGCAACAAAAGTTCTTAACCATTAGCTCTGACCATGAACTTCTAATCCCTTTGCCTCTGCCTCCTCAGCGCTTGCCACCACACTCCATTTATGG